AAATAGACGGCTGTAGCGAGGCGTGTATGGTTATCGGTGGTTATCTGCTAGTGGTAAACGTTAACTCAATCTGTACTTATGCCTCGTCGACAAAAGAGAGCGAGATTTGAACAACTTACAGAGTTTGAACGAGGGAAAATCATCGGCCTTCGTGAAGCTGGATTGTCGTATCGTGCAGTAGCCTCTCGTGTGCAGCGTAACAGCAGCACAGTGATGCGCGTTTGGAAGCAGTGGACGGACGAGTGTCGGACAACTCGGAAATCCGGGAGTGGACCCCGAAATGTGACGTCAGCTCGCGATGATAGGACACCTGGTCCGCATGGCGCGGACGGACCGTACAGCTTCCTCTAGACAATTGGCAGCACTGTGGTCAATAGCTACAGGTGTTTCATTGTGTGCTTCATCAATTCGTAGACGTCTGCTGCAGTGTGGACTGCGCGCACGGACTCCTTTATACAGGATCCCCCTAACGCACGACCATCGCCGCCTGCGGCTACAATGGGCCAATCAGCATAGAGACTGGCGTGCTGATTGGCAGCATGTCGTGTTTTCTGACGAATCCCGCTTTAATTTGTGGTACCATGATGGCCGCATTCGTGTCAGACGCTATGCCGGTGAACGCCACCTTCCGGAGTGCATTATCGAACGCCACAGTGGACGAACACCCGGAGTTATGGTCTGGGGGCGCCATAGCATATCATAGACGATCTCAATTGCTACGAATTGTGGGCAATCTGAACAGCAACCGGTATATCCGTGAAGTTCTACAGCCCGAAGCTGTTCCCTTCCTTCAAAGCTTGCCAGGCGCTGTATTTCAACAGGACAATGCCCGCCCTCATACTGCTCGGATTGTTAAATCCTTCTTTGCAGCGCAGCAGGTACAGCTTCTTCCTTGGCCTGCGTGTTCCCCGGATATGTCGCCAATTGAACATGTGTGGGATGTCATTGGTCGGCGTCTTGCTCGTGATCCTCGTCCTGTTGCGTCTGCAGACGAACTTTGGGTACGCGTACAAACGATATGGAATGCTCTTCCTCAGTCAGACATTCAAACTTTGTTTGACTCCATGCCACGTCGTGTAGCAGCACTTATTGCGGCGCGTGGTGGCCACACAAAATACTGATTCTGATCTCTTGTTCTTGTTTGTTTGCTTTGAACATTTAATCATTTATTTGTACCAGTACCACTCAACTGTGTATTAAATTGCATTCAATTATGACGATTCCTTCTTGGTGTTGCAATTTTCACAAACGTGAGTGTAGAAGTCGGAGTCTTCTATTCCAACAACCGCTAACACATTTCGGTTATCTGTACTACCACGGTCGACATCAGGGACTTGTATTCATAGAGTATCATCAATTTGAGCAGGAATAAATTGTTTTGTGAGGTTTGTAACATTTTTTGTTGCTTGCAGTTGAAGATTCTCTTTGGCAGCCGCTCTTTCTATGGAAATTCCGCTGTTTTTCAGTCAGAACTTGATGTGAAGACGTGGTAGATTGCAAGTCCTCTTCAATATTTTTCTTTGGAATATGGTTTTCGGTATGACCACCGCTGAAATTTTTTCAGAAGTATTACCAGTTTTTTCAAGCTGTTCTTAGGTTTCAAAAGTATTGGCAATTTTCTTCGAGTTGTTCTTCGGTTTCGATATTTGCGATTTGTTGGCTAAACAAAAAAGACGATGTTATGCCTCTTTTTGCTTCCACGTCAAACACGGCTTCAAAAGGACTTTGGCGTATTCCTTCGTGGTATGTAGTGGTCTTGTCAAATTGAACAAAGAGTAAACTTTCTGTCCGTTTATTTGTATCGTTATCGTTTATCCATGAAATCAGCATATTCTGAATATCCTGATTGGCACCTTCAACTCAGCCTTGTGTTTGACTTTGACGAGGCTTTCCATAAACTATCTTAACATCTTTCCACATAGCGCCTATTTCGGATATGACTTGATTACTGAATTATCTACCATTATCTGATTACAATATTGCTGGAGCAGTAAATGTTAAAAAAATTGCAAGAACGTTATTCGCTACTTCTTCAGCTCTCTTAGTTTTCAAAAGTCGTAGCTAGACAAACTAGTTAAATGATCTTGATACACCATTATGAACTTATATTTGCCATCTCTGTTTGACTGCAGATCTATCAGATCAACTTGACATATTGAGTTTAATTCAAAACTGATCATTGGTTTCACAACAATACCTTTCTTAGGTGCACTGTGTTTCATTTGACACTGTTTGCATAAATTTAACTTAGTCGTATGCGGTCGGATTTTGCTCTGCATGGGAGCATTTCTTGTTTCTACCGAGTAGACATGGATCCAATATGAGGTATCAAACAAGTCCAAGAAATTTCTTTCCAACTCTGTTTTCTTTTCACGCTTCAAATCCTTCAGCTTCAAGTCCGACGGCTGCATTTTTCTCCACTAAAGAGTTCATATCAAGCTGTAGTTTATCTTTTTGAAAGTTGTTTTTCGTGTCAGCAGATTTTAAGACGTCTATCTCCAGTATTACATCTGCTTAAAATTTTCTCATCACCACACACACACACACACACCAAAAAAAAAAAAAAAAAAAATCTGAAATGTTTCAGATTTTAAATTACGTCCAAAGGGGCGTTTTTTTAACGTTTTGAGTGTTACCTTTATTTATTAAATATCATGTTCTTTGCACTTAAACCATAAAATTCAGTTCAAGAGCAATATCGCAAAATAATGTTAAATTAAGCATATCTTTAGAATTTCCGATATACACAGTCTCGCGAGCTGGAGATAAAAGTATTTTTTTTCTATATAACGTTGCCATTTCTCGCTTTTAAAGCATTGAGTTTGTAAATCAAAAATTCGTTAAAGTTTTACAAAATATAAAATCCATAATAAAACAAATTCCAAATTTGGGATTTCATATGCCCATATTCGCAGTAGGATTTCGTCATTCAAAATTCGATGGCTCTATGTACCATTGTTTTATCACAATGCGAGAAATAGACAATCATTTATGCAGATTTTTCATTATTTAATTTCTTCTAATATAATGCAGGACTCTAACATTTTGTGGCAACAGTTTGAAAAGTGAACCGACGTTTATGAGTCCGACGCAAAATCGCAAAACGAAAACAATAGTCCTTCAGGGACAAAGCCCCTTTGGACTAAAAAGTCTTCTTGTGCTCATCATTCATCTGCACATTTAAAGTCACTCGCTTTTACGCATTTAAAATATCTTTCTTTTTGGCCGCTGTCACGGTCATTCTTGCCACATCAAACAATCTGTATCGTTTTCCTGAAATTTTTTCCTCCAAAACCTACTTCGCGCCTTCGTGTCCAATAATGCATCTGAAGTTTTGCCGTTAAACAACATTTGAATCACTGGGAGAGAATATTTTTTTAGTTAGCACCAGATTCACTCGGATGTGACAGGCATTTTCTTCTCTCTGGGATGAACGCCCTCTCAATAACACCCTTACATAGTTTAAAAGTTTCTTATCTTTCACTGCTTTATTTCTCTTTTGTGATTTATTTTGAAGATTTTTAATAATGGATGAAATATTCTGCCGACTTTGTAACGCCTTGTTTCATCAAAACTAGGAGATCCTTCGGCTTCGGCGATATTATTTGAATGACTTCTGCATCAGATTTATTCCCACATAGCAAATTTACCAACTGCACTTTTCTCAATATAATGTCCACCAGTTTCTTTGCCTTCGTTTGGTATTTACCAAAAGCTCCGTTTCTAATTTCGCCTTATCTTTCACTACAGGGAACGCTTTTAAAAGGTCGATTTCAAACATTTGAATCTCAAAAATTTTTCTGATGTCTTTATACAAGCTCAGAGCCTATCCCAGAAAAACAATGGTTTCTACAACGACCTTTTTCAACTCTCTAACAGGATATAACGAAAAGCGCGTTTGCAAATGTTCCGAAACGGCCAACACCGAACTTCTACCATCGAAAGGGGTGGACGGTTTCTTTGATGCTCGCGTAGTATCTCTGATAAAACTGAAGCCTTCCATCCGGCTTTTTGGTGCAGAAGGAACTTGAATTTTTTTTTGGGGGGGGGGAGGGAAGGAGGCTAAAAGTTGGTAGATTTTGCGACATAGTTAATAAACAATTCAAGCAAAGACTAAAGATTACATTGGGATTACAATGATAGTGATTTTCAAATACCTTTCTGTTTTTCGCATTATGGCTTATTCTGTTCGATTACAAAATTTTCATAAAACAGTAGTTGGCTTTTATTTTATTTGTTTATTTATTGGCAAAAAAAAAGGAACTTATAACTTTGACACTTTGCTTTTCGAAACTTTAATTTCGAAAGACAAAAGTTACATATTTCTGATGAAAATTTTGGAAATTAACAGTCGATCCTTATTTATCAAACACTGGAATTTAAAAAAGTGCATAGTGAAAACAATTTCAGGTTTTGTTTTAGCAAATTTTATTCTCTAAAGCATTTGTAACGTTTAGAAAGCCATTCTTCTGAATTCCTTCTAAACTTCATTTCTTTACCCTACCAGAATATGAGAGGAATCTGATGTGTGCTGCTTTGATAAATCTGACAGCATCTTTGAAGAATTCATTCAGAGATGCTACATATTTATTGTTCTATTAGAAATTGTATTATATATATACCCTTTTTTGTAGTAGCATTTATTCAGAATGATATGTGATTGTATACTTTTTACAGAAACTTTAAATAACATTTTTGCCGAAACCTTTATAAATGTTTTCTGACGACTACTCCTTTAGCTTATTCATTTTACTAAGAATCTTTTCAAATCCATACTGTATTGTACTCATTTTATTCATCCTTACTATACTCATGCTTGGAATTCGAAATCCAAATTTATATTTCCGCTTTCATGACTTATTCAAGTTAAGTATATGTTTCTTAACAGGTAAATTTGTATGTTTAAAAAATATATTTCAAGTATGCCATGTTTGGTATTATTTATGAATTTCCTTCCACTATAATTTCAACCGTTTTTACAAACCTTAATAAAATTGCAGGACGAATACTAGAGTATTTATCAGATTATTCTGGTAAAATAGTGGGCAACGGTTGGAGCAACGATACTAACAAACATTTCAAAACTAAAACCAACTGTTTCTTGGAACAATACGCTAAGTATACTACTGGTAATGGAATGAAGGTAAGATGCATCAAGGCTCTCTTTTTACTCTATTTCCTATATCTTGAGCAATGGATAAGAAATATATTATAATAGATATATGCCTGTGCTCTTTTATTCTCTCTTTCTATTTCTGCTTGTCTCATTGACTGTTCGAAAATTTATATTTATGTCAAAAAATCCATTTATACTGATATACGGTGAAATAAATACAACTCGTTATTACATGGGATTAATAAGGGTTAGTGCAGAAGCTATTATGTATTTCAAAAGCTCAAACGCGAAAGTCTGTTTCTCTACCTAAATTCTAGCCACGGATCTTTCAGTTATTACCTTGATGCATTACTCATTTAAATTAAAATAACGTGCATAGAAAAATGCTATTTTTCCTTTCACTTTGCCTTCCCTGCTTAAAGATTAGTTGGAAAGAGGGACGAGAAACAATCTAGCAGATCTTAATAAAGAAGCTATACCGTTCACTAGTTTTTAGTTTGGGCACCGCTTCAGAAACGTTTAGGCTTCTTAAAGTAGGAAGCAGAAAGTATGGACTGTACACCAGCCGGTATTGAAGCCAAGGATCTTCTTTAAAAGTGTATTCAAAAAGTGTATTTAAAATTTAAAAGTGTTGGTCCAACTAAATTCTAAATGGACTGTAACTCTTAATTAAACTAATTAACAAACTAGCTTGTAATATATCATTATCTTTATTTTACTAATTTGTGAAAGACACTCAAGCTTCCACACCCACTCTGTGCTTCGCCATTGAAGCAAACTCTCCAAGTTATAACATTCTTTTGTAAACAATAACGATTAACAGCGCCATCTGGCTTCAAATGGCTTTAACACTCCCCCGAATTGAAATTACAAAATTTCAAGAAATTATACAAACATTCTTAAAAGAAAATTAATATACTTATAAACTACATAATACTGTTACTATAACTACAGCTATTACAGTACTAGAACAAAATACAATACATATGCAAAAATATCATTTCAGTTTTCTATAGAAAAAACGGCGATCTTTGTGATCGCTCTTTTTAATTCTCCTGATTTTGTTTTGATTTTAATAGTTCTTACTTTATTGCCAGATCCATGATAGATTTAACCTGACCTAATATCCATTTGCAAACTGGCAGATAATCCTCCTTGACGAGTACCATAGTACCAACAGAAATGTTGTCCTTCTCTACCATCTATTTGGTTCTCTGCGCCAAAGTTCCTAAACAGTCATTCAAGCATTTCTTCCAAATAATCTGAACTACTTTCGTTGTTCTCTGACACCGGCTTAACTGATTTTCATTTATGTCTATTATCAATGGCTCCGGAATCGCCTATATTGAACTTGCTATTAAGAAAATGACCTGGGATCAAAACGTCATAAGAATCAAAATCATTAGAAATGGGTGTAAGAAGACTCGAATTTAGTATTCCCTCCACCTGTACAATTATAGTTTCAAACTCCCATATGTAAAACGCAAATTTCCTATCGTTCTCTTTAAGTGATGCTTTAAGGACTTTACACCGGCTTCCCACAGCCTTCCGAAATGAGGGGATTTGGAAGGAGTAAAGTTCATGTCTATTCTTTCAGACGTGAAATATGAAGCCAAAGTTTTATCAGGAAAATTAATTACATTGTAGAATTCCTTCAACAGAGAATTTGCTCCTACAAAATTAGAGGCATTATCAGTGAATATTTTCACCTTTTTGACACGTCTGGCCATGTAACGCTTAAAAGGGGCAATTAAAGCACTAGAAGTTAAATCTGACAAAGGCTCAAGATGAATAGCTCCTATCACAAAACATATACATATACAAATCTAAATTTTATTTAGCATACCCTTTCTCTGACGCTTTTGTAAGTTACATAAAAGGGATCGCATAGATCCGAACCTGAAGCATTAAATGGAGGTGATCTATTAACTCTCTCATATGGTAAATTAGTCATAGTCTGTGAAGACAAAATCGGTTTGCATTTAACGCATGCAACACAAAGATGTACTGTTTTTCGCGCCAAATCTCTACCACCTAATGGCCAGAATTTTAAACGTACTGCATTCAATAATCCTTGAGGGCCAACATGTAATAATCTTCTCTGCACACTTAAAAAAAAAAAAAAAAAAAAAAAAAAAAAATCTTACTTAGCTTAGAATTTCTCGGAAGGATCGCAGGATATTTCTGAGAAAATGGTAAAGAAGTGTTAAATTGAAAATTTTTATGTGTTAGTCTGCCAGTCATCCTGGTCACGGCACCATTGTTATATAGAAAAAAAATTATGTTGTTGTTTTAATACCTTTTAACTTTAAACTTTGCTGCAAGGTGCCGGACAAAATTAACAATAAAAAAATCAAAAATCAAATATCAAATAATTCAAAACATTCAAAATCTATTTCATAATAATCAAATATCATATCGACATTCTTATAAATATTCGTATAGTAAATCTATCAATCAATCGTATATCATATCTATCAATCAATCGTATATCATATCTATCAATCAATCGTATATCATATCTATCAATCAATCGTATAGTGGTATAGTACAATTTAACTTTTAAGGTTTGCGTTGTGAGTAACCTATGTAAAAGGAAATATCAATAACTCCCAATTCAATTAAACTCCATGTTTCTTAAAGCCTCCCGGCTCAAACAAATGGAGGGACATGACAGACCACAGAAACTACACTAAATTAAACAAATGAAACATAAAATACATATCAAACACATTTTATTAATTTCTAGAATATTCAAAACATATGATAACTAGGTAAAACTGATCAGTCCCCTACAAATTAACCTTAAGAGGTAAATTAACATATATATCATTTTAAATCTTATACTCAAGTTAGGTGTACTAATGTGTTTTTTTTTTAACATTACATAACTCACAATTTAGGCGGTTGTACCACGCGTATATTAATATAGTATCATTACTCGGCTACAATTTAAATACAAAAGACAGAAAAAAAAATTCACTCACAGGGTGAAGTTCATACATTCAACTCCTATGCCATCATCGACTGATTAATATGGGGTGCTGATAGTTCAACAGATCGTTCTACTCATTGCGTTGACCATTCGAAGAGATCGAGAATGCCATCATCGACGGATTAATACGGAGTTTTAGATAGTTCAACAGATCGTCCTACTCATTTCGTTCACCATTCGAAGAGATCGAGAATGCCATCATCGACGGATTAATACGGAGATTTAGATAGTTCAACAGATCGTCCTACTCATTTCGTTCACCATTCGAAGAGATTGAGAATGCCATCATCGACGGATTAATACGGAGTTTTAGATAGTTCAACAGATCGTCCTACTCATTTCGTTCACCATTCGAAGAGATCGAGAATGCCATCATCGACGGATTAATACGGAGTTTTAGATAGTTCAACAGCTAGTCCAACTGCTTTTAAATCAGGAACGCTAACGCTACAACAAAATCTGTATTAAGGTAACCTCGAGAATGTCAAATTAAAGTTCTTGGGAAAATATAACGAAGCAGCAGTAAAGCTATATTTTGCATAAGCACTTAGTCTCAACTCGAGCAAAATTCTCATCAGCTGAAAGCCAACAGAAATTCAAGACCGCCGCCCGCTGGTACACAGCATTCGCGAGAGCAAGACCTGCAAAGGGGTCAAGCCCCCCGCCACTCGTTTTGTTCTTACTCTTAGCTTGAAAAATCAGGAAACAGAATCAGAATGAACTCTAGCCTGGTGCAAGCACCCAGGAAATCTCGGTTTCTCCGCCTCTGTGAGTTCATAGGCTTTCAAAAAAATCATAAAATTATATCTTACCAATCCCGAAATTTTATGTTATCTAAATTGAGAAAATGACACACACTCATGACGAATCAAACACCAGAAAATCTGACAATGCAATCCGAAAAAAAAAACATCTGCACTCATAACGTGAGAAAAAAAATAGACCCCCCAACTAACAAGCGTGAAACTAAGCTTTACGAAGAATCCAATTACCAGCCACCCCCACTGTCTTGAAGTAAGCAAAACTGCAAACTTTAACAAAGCGACAGGAAAGACGATTTTCCGTTTCACACGCCATTAGTAAAGGCGATAATAGAACACCCTACTGCCTCCATTGTTAGTGAAAAGGCCATAAACCAGATGTGTGTCCTCGCAACCGTCTCTCGCCTTTGTTACAATTCCTACTCAAGAACAACAAGTTAAATAAAACCTTAAGAGCTTAAGAATACTTTTTTCCAGATTAAAATACACATGAATACAAATAAAAATATTAGAATAATAATAACTTGAAACACCTATTAATAATTGAAATTCTCGACATAACAGAAGCTTTTTCAAGACGGCCACCAACACGAATTATTCCTTTACGATCAACAAAGGGATGTATTTTTTTTTAATTACCTGCTATGTCTTTTTTACAAAATAGGACCCTCTGCTCATTTAATAAGCGTTTCCTCAGCTATTAGTACCTCTTCCAGTTGAACTACCTTTCTTGATCCACCTTTCCTGAAATTACAAATAAACCTAAAAATATTAACATTAATAATTTTATAATAATTGTTACTAATATTCAAGAGTTCGTCTAAAACGTTAGCGTTCATGTCAATCAACATAGTTCTCTCAGAAATGTCAATAGAACTTTTCCTTTCTTGCACAAAGGATTCCCTTTCACTAGGTGTTAGGTTCTCAACCTCTGGAACTATTGGTTGTAAGCACTTGTAGGGAAGATGCGGCTCTGTCAAAAATTCTGCACAAGTCCACCACTTGGAAATTTTCACTAGAGAAGAGGCACTGACTCCACTCGTTAGAAGTTCGGCTGGATTGTCCTTGGCTGAACAATAACCATGAATCTCGATTAGTCAATTTCTGAATTTCGTCAACGTGATTTTGAACGAAAGACTTCCATCTTCTGCTTAATCCTTTGATTCAATACAGTGTGACTTTAGAATCACTCCAAAAGAGATATTAGATGAACCTTTACCATCCAGAACTTTGTTAACTTCTTTTCCCAATCTTGCAGCAATCAATGCACCCAGCAATTCCAGTCGAGGCAAGAAAACTTTTTTGACAGGTGAAACTCTGCTTTGGAAGCCAGCAAATTCACAGAACATTTTTCTCGATTTTGTACTTTTACCTAAACGGCTGCAGCATACGACTTTTGGCTTGCATCAGAAAAAGACATGGATCTCCATATTTTCATCATATGAATCCACAACAAATCTTGGAACACTAATGATACTAAGTTTTGAAAGCTCGCTGCATCATTGAGACCACTCGTCGTTTAAATCAGAAGGAAGCTCAGCATCCCATGGTAATTTACGTAGTCATAGTTTTTGTAATAAAAGTTTTATTCTAACAGTGAATGGTGCGATGAGTCCAAGAGGATCATATATTTTTCCAGCTATTTGCAGGATGAAGCGTTTGGTACTTTTCTTTCTATCCGAAATTTTAGTCAAACAAGAAGTCTCTACACTCAAACTATCTTCCTGAATGTTCCATTGAATTCCTAATACTTTGAGTACCTTTTCATTTGAGATTAGCGGATGAATGTCGAAATGTTCTTCTTCCTATTTCTTAACTAAATGATAATCATTCGTCACCCATTTTCTTAGGTTCATCCCAGCTCCACTCATAATTTCCTTTGCTTACCTTGAAATTTTTAAGTGCTTCTGATACACCATCTGTTCCTGTAACAAGATCATCAACATACATACATGTATCAAGAATTTGAGAAGTATCGGGATACACATTCCTATACTTTTGGATATGCAGCTTTATAGTTGCAAAAAGGACTGTATTTAACACCAAAGAGCACACACTTAAATCTATACACCTCTAATTGAAACTCGGTATTCTGCAAAGGTGTATCAATATTCTTAACAAATAAAAATCTAACTGCATCTCTATCTTTCTAAGCTAATACGATCTATAAAAATGTGTTTTCAATATCTCCTAAGATTGCAACTCTATTAAGTCTAACATATATCAGCAAATGAAACATATTTTGATTCAAATTAATACCAGGCCACAAACAATCATTCAGGGACGGACTACCTATTTCATGTGAGCTCGCATCAAATACAATACTCATTCTTGCCGTAATGCTTTCTTCTCTATAAACTGCCTGATGCGGCATATAAAAAAGCTGGCTTGTTTACTGGTTTCGTGGAATCTAATATTCTTTCTGTTATCCCTTGATTTAGGTACTCTTCTAAAGTTTCTCTATATTTTAGGCATAATACATTATCATGCTGAATTTTCCTCATCAGGATCTTTATTCTTTTTTCTGCGACACGAAAACTGTCGCCTAGATGCTCCCAACCTTTCTTCCAAGGCAGGCATACACTATACTGACCATCTTTGAAACTAACAATTTTGTTGAATATCTCTAATGCTTTATCTTCATCGTAAGACTTGGGATCACCTCTAATACCAGTTGATTCCAAATAAGAAACTTTTTCATCTGTGTCTCGACTTTTTCATCTGTGTTGTCATAAATTAACCCACAATGCATTAATTGTTTCTCATGTGGGTAAATCTTCAATGCTCCCCCTCACTAAATACCCAAATGCTGAGTTTTGTAACACTAAACTTGTTATCTGGTACATAAATTTGCTCGGTTCTTATTAAATCGAAAAATATTCCAGATCCTAAAAGTAAGTGAATTTTACCCGGTTTGTGAAAGTCTGGATCAGCTAACGTAACTCCTTGTGAAATCGTAATATAATATATCAATTTGTCTATAAGGCATCAAATGAGTAATTTTCGGAGTTACAAAAAACTTTAGTTTACGACTGTAGGTGTTTCCTCTGTTTAAAATAACCGTACTTATTTTTGATTTCACCGTTGTTGAAATCCCAGATAAACATCCTACTGATACGTTTACATTTCTGTTTGCAAATGAAGCTTTTCAGCTAATTCCGTTGAACAAAGATGAATCATACTTCCACTGTCAAGCAAAGTTCTGGCTGGAAATATTTCTCCTTCATTTCCCTTAATATAAAGAATCGCTGTCGATAGTAGGATTATATTAATTGCATTATAATTTTTATTTACATTAGCTGTCATAAAACACTCGTTATCCTTATTTATGATTGGCTCTGCGTGAACGTTGAGTTTCGTTGTTTCCGCAGACTGATTGGCGTCTGATTTTTGATCCGACAGAGACGCGATTTCGCAACTGTCTCTATTTTGGGGAATCGAAACTTTTTCTCGCTCATAACACAGTAACGAGTTGTGCATTTTTCTGCACAGCCTACAATATTAATTTGAAGGGCAATTTCTCACTCCATAATTTCCAAAACAGCAGAAACATAAGTTGTGCTTTTTAACATAATCTTTTAAGCTGAATTTTTGAAATTTAGGACATTTAAATAATTTATGTTCCACATTACACAGTTTACAAATAAATGCACGTTTCTTAGTCACACATGAAACCATTGAAGAAACCTTGATTGACTTACTGAAGCTTTTGATTTAGACATTACTGGAATTCTAGAAGCGTTTAATGTCCTCGCGTGATCCTTTAGAAATTCTAATAACTCTGTAATGTTCGGTATTTTTCTTTCTTTAAACCTTCTTTCCATAACACCATAACTTAGTATTCTGATCAAGTTTCTGGCTAAGAATAAAGGCAAGCTATAGCGGATGAAACCCCATCTAACTTTTGTTCTAAACATTCTAACGATCTTACAACTTCACTTGTAACATCAATTAAATTTAGAATCGCAGAAGCTGACTCGTTTTGAATAACGGGAATACTTCATAAATTCTTTTAAGATGAGCATACACTTTGTTCTCTAGGGCTTGAGTATCTTTCTTCAAGGAAGAGACCACGCTAAACTTATAATTATTATCCGTTATAGCTATCGTTTGAATTAATTCTAAAGGCATCTTCTTTCAGTGCTGATTTCAAATATTGCAATTTTACAGCATCTGATAAGTTTGGGTTTTGATCAATACTCGCTTTAAAAATGTCCGTAAAAGGAAAGCCAAGAATGCATTTCTCCTGAAAATATCGGTAATGAAATTCTTAGGTAAACGCACAACAGTATTTTCAGAAATTATTGTATTTTCTACTTTATTCTGTTTAACAACGTTCGACAATCTATTATTTATTTAAAATTCCGCATCTATAATACTACTATTGATTTCATCTTGCTCAATGAAGATTTTTCGATATTTTCTTCACTACTTAAATTGATAATAGAATCAAAAATATTATCGAATTCATTTTAGCAGATTGTTAAATTTAGTTTTTAACAATTCTAAATCACTAACACTTAAATCTGGCTCACAAAGTTTCTTTTGCAACTTTGATAAGATAGTTTTTTCAAGTTCTGTTTTTAGTGAGAATATCTTTTAATTTCGTAGCCTTTTTCGCTACATTTATCAATAATAACAAATTATCACACAAACTTAATTCAGAATTTGCTAAATGCAACAGTTAATAATGAATAGACTTGCAAGGGTTTTTTACTTACTCTTTTCTTTGAGCAATTGGCTATAATCCACAAACACAAATTCCATAGAAACAAAAATGGCAAACTCACTATTTTACACTAGCTTATTTACTTAGCCGATATCGCTTCTGTAGAGAACCACTCAAAATGGCCCGGCTAAATTCTAAATAGACTGTAACTCTTAATTAAACTAATTAACAAACTAATCTGTAATATATTATTATTTTACTAATTTGTGAAAGACACTCACTCACTCTGTGCTTCGCCATTGAAGCAAATTCTCCAAGTAATAAAATTCTTTTGTAAACAGTAGCGATAGCAGCGCCATCTGGCTTCAAAGGAATTTAACAAGTGTATTAAAAGTATTTTCAATGTTTCTCTTTTTCAAAAAAAAAAAAAAACTTCCATGATGAAAAAAAAAAAAAAAAAAAAATTATTGACCAATAATTTCGATATATCGACGATGATATATTAAAGATTAATTAAGAAAGGTAGTTTTCATGTGTAAAACCTCAGAGATAATAAAAGAAAATATATTAGTTTTTTAATTGCTTTTTTTCTTAATATGTTAGGAAACAGCATGTTGAAAATCAGTCCGACGAGGTTTCAAAATAGAAAACAGTAACCAGTGTGCATCAGAATCCTACATTACAACTTTTTTTAAAGCTTTCTTATGAACGTTTACTTTAAATGCTCAGCAAGGTTCGAGAAAAAGATAATTTTCATTAAAAATTAACAAACAAGTGTTACTTTTCGATTTATTATTGTTAAATTTAAATGGCTTCAAGTAAGCCATGAAAGAGTTAAGAAACATAAAATGAGAAATTCTTATAGGAAAATTAATGGAAGTTTTAAAAATCACTAAACATCTCCTTTAAAAATATCCAACTATTAAATTTTTGACGTATTTCGTTTTAGAATGAAATGTTTTAAATGAAAATTTTGCTTTACTTGTTGACAAACAAAGAGCATCTATCAGCAGCAGAATCTGCTAGATATAGGATTTCGTACTTTCTTACGTTTAAGCATTTGATGACAGTTAATGCTCACAGGTTGAATATTAGAAAATGGTTATGTTCTCAACACAAACTGTTATTTTTCTTCTGCATATTAAGGAAACTACTTTCAAAATATATATTTAAACAATTGCCTCTTTAACAGATGGATGTTAATAAAACCCTTATAGAAAATAAAGCTGACAACCTTGGTTATGAACTAGCTTATCTGGTAAGTAACGTTCTTTAAATTTTTTTAAAGGTCTATGCTTGTTTTCTTTTGCTGCACATTTTGTTTACTTCTTTTATGATTATGTGTTTCTTATATATTTATTACTTATAAAACCCAATGTTTTATTACAATTTTTACAAATCTGCTTGTCAGAAAATTCACCACCATCTGTGGTTCTATTAAGTTATTTTTAGCTAGTTTTCAAATTGAATAATGAAGAATCTGCATGAATGTATATATGTTTCTCGCACTACCTAGAAAAATCAAATTCTGAATAACGTAGACCTCCACTCGGATATAGGCATCTGAAAGCCCAAATTTGGAATTCGGTAATTGTTTTATTATCTATTTGCTATTTTGTAAAACTTTAACGAATTTTTTATTAACAAACTCAAAGATTTCAAAGCGAGCAATGACAACACTGTACTAAAAAGAAATTATCTATAGCGCGTGAGACTATGTATCGGAAATTCTAATTCTTTAAAATTATTTTGTGAGATTTCTGTTGAATTGAATTGCATGGTTTAAGTGCAAAGAACATGATATTTAATAAATAAGCATAACACACAAAATGTTAAAAAACGTCTCTTTGGGCGTAATATAAAATATGAAGGCTTTCAGGTTTTTTTTTTAACCTTGAAGTTTGAATAAATCTGAAAACGTTGACTTTATTTGGCCTATTTATTAAGAGATCTGTAGATGGATTAGCATGCAAAATTCTGAATCATCGTTCCTCCTTTTAAACACTTACAACCATAAAAATGAATTAGCATTTGTAGAGCTGGGACAAGGACGAGGAAAATGGAGTATTTACTGCAAGTACATAAAACATGAATGATTGGTTTATTGGAATAAGGTAAGGTACACGTTGGTTACCCATCTAGGTTGAGAAATACCTTTTTGAAAAACATTTAAAAAAAACTTGCTCGTACTCACGTTATACACTGATTTGGCCACTTCGCCGTTGGCGAGCTGTTTCTCAGCAGCAAGATTCCCAAATTCAATACAAAAACGAAAACAATTAATTAAAAATGTTCAAGTCAACGTAATGTGATGATATTTCAATGTCGTTTCGCCTTTATAGGGCCTATACACGCAGGTTTATAGAGCCTATACACGCAGGATGGCAAAATACACGCAGGTTTGTGTTACATGATTAAAGGATAGACCGAAAAAAATTACATTTTAAAATTAGTGACTGCATAGTGAGTGAGTGAGCGCCACCAAGGAAGACCCCTGACCTGGCCTTAGCCTCACAGTGTGTTATCTTCCTGGCAGAAACCATCTACTCTCTGCTCCATCCTGCTCCGGGAACGCAGCCGAATAGAGGCTAGAGCTCATATAGTCTACATATTCTTGGATGTTTGACGGGGAAAGAGTTCTGTTGGAACTACTTAAAATTAGCAAGAAGCAATCAAAAGACTGTTAGAATCGCGTTAGAATAGACAGAATGTGTAGATAAAGTAAATAGAAGGACTTGCCTGAAATAACTGCCGTGGATTTTCTGACTTGCTAATGTCTACATGCGGGTGTTATCGGACACCGAGTCTTTATGGCTTCTGTGAATCGTGGTCCTGCAGGGATGAAGTTTAACCTATTAAATTTGCACCTAGTAACTTTAAAAAATAAATAAAAAATAAAAAAAAAGAATAAGAGAGAGATAAAAGAGATTAAAAAAAATCCTAGCGCCAAACATATTTAACGTCCATGTGCCTGACTCTTATGTAAGAACATTTAAAAGATTGTGTGCTGTATCACTAAGAACAAATTCCTGCTATTTAGTTCTTTGCATACTTAAATTAGTTGTTTTACAAATTGAACCATTCACCCATTTTCTTTCGTAGTACTTGCAGACGGATAATACATACATAAGTACAAAACTGAATATTAAGTGAAAACCTACATGATACTGATTACAGAAATACAGAAAGCTGTCCTATGCTGTATACATAACACTTAAATGCATACAATACATAAAATAAAAATAAAACTGTAAGCATAATAATAAAACTGATCATTAAGTACTGCTATGTAGTCTAAAGAGAAACTTACCTACATTAATTCCATAGTTAGTTTTATCACCTAGAACATGCACATAATTTATACAAAACAAATTAGCACGTAATGCTGATCACTAGGGAAAGATTCAAAACAGCAATGATCACATAAATACAGATATTTCTTCCCTAAGATTTGCATAAAAGTTGAATATTTATTAAATTAGAAGCAAAAATGCCATACCAATAATAATCATTCATAAACTTGAGGTGATAAATAAGTTGACCCTGCCTTCTTGAACCTATTTATCACAAACTTGTAATTTAATACACGATTAGTTAGTGTAGGAAACTCATTGCTGTTGAAGATTTACTGAACGATCTGGTCTTGCGAGTCCTAGACCTGTACATTAATTGCAAAGTAAACATTATAAAGAATATAGGGGTTGTTGCCATAGTCCTAATTATCTAAGTTATCTTGGGTTGAGAGGTTCGAGGTGTGTGCCAGATTGATTTAGTGTGATTATACATTTTATATTCAGAGCGCTAGCACTTGAGTATTTCTATTTGGGGACACTTATCGTCGTATTAGAGAAACTTCTCTGACAATGGCTGATTACCGCTTGTAGCTTTTTATTTGCTGTTTGTTGTTCTCATATTTGCCGCCCATTGTGGCCAGTAAGCTTGACTTGGCTTCTTATATGGTACTGTGCCGTGTTTGTGCAGTGGAAGACGTAGGGTCTGGATCCCCCACCTCTCCACATGACATCTTTCTGTGTCACTCAGGCTGAATCTATGCATATAGGTCAGGAATGGCCATGACCTGTATAAAACGTGTCTGACTACCACTATTGCAGTTAACTCTAGCGTGTTTTTGGGAAGAACATATACGTTCTCCTTCCTGTATCTGCTGTGTCCCATCTGGCTTGCCATCTCTATCAGTTGTTTTAGAGTGATCTTTTTGAGATGAGACCTAGGTAATTTATCTGGCAGTTCTGTTCTTGAGACCTCCTTTGCCGCTTCTTTTGCCAGGGTGTCTGCTTCCTCATTGCCTTTAATGCCCACGTGAGCCGGAACCCACGTAAGGCATGGCCTTTCTGATGGTGGAAGACTGAGGAGGATTTTTCTAATTTCTTGGACATACTGGCTTCTACTTTTGTAACCTTTGATTGCGTCAAGGCTAGAGGCAGAATCACTGTAAATAGTAATGTGGAGAAGTCTGTTCCTCTTCACATAATTAATTGCTGCTTTAAGTGCTGCCAGCTCAGCTTGGAATACTGAGTTCCTACTGCCAAGTCTTCTTTTCCATTTATACACAGCTGTATTACCTTTAGAACGCAGAAGGCACTGCCAGTACCGTCTCGGTTTTTGAGCCATCTGTAAATATAGCTGTGTGGTTATCTTTTGGTGTCACATAGTGGCCTAGAATACACTTTTTTAGATGTGTTTCAGCCGGATGTCCTTGAGTCACTGGCTTGTGTTTTTCAAAGTCTTCAGCAAAGTGGTGTTGTTCCCATAGAACTCCATCCTCACCTAGCCTTAACACTCTTGAAATTAACGACTCCCTTTCCGCTTGCAGGTCTAGTGGAGGAATTCCTGCTAGAACCTGCAGAGCTGTCGTTGAAGTAGTTCTGTAGCCCTTGCAGATGAGCAAGAGTTGCAGCCTTTGCATGGACAGAAGTAATCTACGCATGCTTACGTTGAGTGTATTTCCCCAGATCGCTACGCCGTAGAGAACAATTCTTTCTGTTATTGCTTGGTACCACCTCTTAAGCACCCATGGTGGTGCTCCCCACTGCAGTCCTGTTGTGCGTAGCATTGTGTTTGTGAGTGCGATACATCTTTTCCTGAGTTCTTTTAAGTGGGGAATCCAAGAGAGATTATTGTTGAGGATAAATCCTAGGTATTTTATGATTGAAGAGCATTTTATTGAGCTACCGTTGAGTCTAATGGTAGGATTTTTTCATTACTTTTACGCCCTAAATAGCATGGTAGTTTTTTCTGCTGAGATCGTAAGTTTATGTGTTTGTGCCACTCTAAGAACCTATTTAGTGCATTTTGTGTAATTTTCTCTATATTCTTTCTTCCCCGAAGTTACTAGAAGGAAATCATCCGCAAAAGCCTGCAGATGTATTCGCTCTCCATCTCAAAAATTTGGAACGCTGAATTAGCTACTAGGTCACAGGGTTGGCCTAGACGGAACCCTGTGGACAGCCTTTCTCCAGTTATGCTGGATTATTCCATCGTTTGTAGTTACTTGACTTGTCTGTCTTCAAGGTAGCTCCTTATCAACTTTAAGATCTGAATTGGGCAGTTGATTGAATCTATTCTTTTGTTAATCAGGCCACCAGACATTATCGAAGGCTCCCTTTATGTCAATAGATATTCTATTGAGTGATTGTCTTCCTCTCTGTTCTTTTTCAGCACTTTCAGGAGATTGCTACTGCCTGTTCCGTAGATATTCCTTCACGAAGCCATACTTTTTTATAATTACGAACTTTTATTCAGGAAATAATTTAGCCTCATTAGAATGATTTTTCTAGAACTTTGCTAATTTGGGGAAGGAGACTTACCGGGCGGTAG